ACACAGCCAGGGGCACACATACTGTTGGGGGACGATATAAATAATAATGTCTTGACTTAACACCACAGCTGCAGACACAATTACATTGTTGTGGTTACTCTGTGTTCATCACAATTGGTGACTGTTAGAGGTCATGTAGCACACAGGAACAGCCTTGAGTGATGTGCCATGTGCAGCTTTCCTCATGTTTGAAAATAACGAAATTGCTCACATACAGAGGCTTCCTATTCATCTTTTCACATTTCGAGAAGCCTAGTATGGTGAATTTCTCTTGCAAGTCTCAAATGTGTGTTGTCTTGTTGTCCCACCTTGACTGAGGATGACACCTGACTGGAGGCATTGTCTCTCGGGCTCAGCTGCAGCTCTTGCTCAGGCAATTGTCAACAATAATAAACAACAATAAACCACAATAACAGGATAATCGTAATAATAATTACTATTACAACGATAATAATATAAGCAATATAATAAAACAGATTTTTAAAAATACATAGAGTACTTAAATAATTAACTCCTTTGTGAGCCATCACCTTATCATATTAGAGGGGGTTGCGTGTCCCCATGGTTCTCTTGTCTGGGGTTTAGGGTCCCTGGCAGGGTCCTCGATGGCACAAAGGATAATTATAGGTGAAGGCCCAGACAAAGCATGGCTCAGAACTAAAATGTGTGAACAAAGTTTTTCCTCGGCTTGACGTTGGGTTGGAAAACGACTACTATACCACTGAGCCTTGCCGCCTTTTTTCTTTTTTTTTTTAATTGTTTTTCAGTTATTTTTAATTCTTATTTCAAGGCCCTAATTCCTGCCTAATCTCAAATTGACATTGTGATATTTTAACAAAACACAATTACAGTCTACTGTTCAACAAATACAGGGCCCCTTTTCCTGGTGGGTTGGCTGTATCGTGTCTGCAAAGCTCTGCAAAACAAGCACCCTGGCCAGGCACACCTGATCGAAGTTGCAGCGTATACATCGCTGGCTGAGTAGCTCAGTTGAAGGCAGTGTCAAACACAACAAGAGCTAAATGCAGGCTGCAGCACAAGTGCTGGAACGTAACTAAAAATGTAAGCAGCAAATTGACAAGCCCTGAGACAACCCAGAAAGAAAGAAACCATCATAAACAGCCAGGCACAGAGGGCAGCAGGGTTCATCCAATCTTGCAGAGAGCAAAAGGTGTGCGCATGTGTGTGTCAGAGCCAAGGTATCAAAGATAGAAAGGAGATATGTACATAGAGGTGGAGTGAAATTGTCTGTTGCAAGTTTGATGAGGATGGAGAATGAATTAAGCATGAGTCCATCTTCCTCTTTCTTTCTTTCTTTCGAAGGTGCTGTCTCCATCACAGTCACTTCAATTTCCCTATCTGCCATGCGCAGTCCACATTTGAAAAGAGTCAGGTGGGGAGGAGGTACGGTTGTGATTGAAGAAAGCTTTTAAAGCATCAAGATGGTGTGCTTGAGAGATGGAATAAAAACGTAATGGGGGTGGTGGGGGAAGTCGATGAGATGTGTGTAATGTTCATGTCAGAGCTCTGGGCAAAAGGAATGAATGAATAAAAGAATGACAAAGTTTAGGATCTTGTGAATTTACTGTTGGGCCTTGAGACACAAGTTGAATTTATTCCGTGATCTTGTTTGTCACTCAGAACACTCGTATCCCAAATTATGTTTTGCCATTGAAATGAAGAATATTACGCATACATAAATAAATATAAACATCCATCCATCATCTAAGCCACTTCTCTTGACGAGGGTCCTGGGCGCGCTGGAGCCTATCCCAGCTGTTTTAGGGCCGTAGGCGGGGGACACCCTCAACTGGTTCTCAGCTAATCGCAGGCCACACACAGACGAACAAATATCTGCGCTTATACTCACACCTAGGGCCAATTTTGAGTTTTAAATCAGCCTGCCATGCATGTTTTTGGAATGTGGGAAGAAACCGGAGTGCCCGGAGAAAACCCACGCGGGCCTGGGGAGAACATGCAAACTCCACACAGGGAGGTCGGAGCCAGGATTGAACCTACGACCTCTGCACTGTGAGGTCGACATGCTAACCACTGAACCACCAGGCCGCCATTGCGAATTGATTCTGTCACACTTGGTTCTAGATGTGACAAAAATGGAGTGTCATTTTGCTGAGGCATGTGGTAGGCAGTTTCTTGATGGCGCTAATCAGTGGGGGATTGCTGAGAAAATTACCACAGTTGATATTGTGTTCCAAACACAGTAGCAACAGGGATGAGACTGCCCTTTTGAGCATTTGCCCTGCATCTCGCATCTTGTACAAAGGACCATTGTCATGTCCCTTTCTGGTTTCTGGTTTCAATGGTGCATCAGTTTAATCAGATTCGATCGAGTAATTCCATTGGTGCTCCCCCAGCACCCTCCCCTGATGAGCGCTAATTCAAGATGGCGGCATCCATGGTTACGGGACACTCCATGGTCGCGTCACGACGTGCATCATATCCTTCCAGCGTTTTTTTATTTTGCAGTGGGGTGGACAAGCCATGGAGGCGGGTTCTTTTTTTCCCTGCTCCAGTCAGCATTGTAAGTCATCGCTACCATCCAATGCAAAATCTCTGGTACATAAAACAGACATTGGAATTGCAAACAGCTGCAAATTTACAGATTCATGACTGAGGATATTTGATGCTTGCATGCAGCTAGTTGTTAAAAACTGGGAGGCATACACTGGCAGACTAATGTCCATCAGTCGTCACTGAAGGATGCCTGTTCGGTTGACGATTGACAATAGATGAAAAAAAAAGACTGACTAAGCACTGATGGAGGTGCGTGCAGCAAAAATAATTCATCCACCTAACAATGAAACAATACATTTACAAACATCGCTCACGTAAACACCCCAATCCTGATCCCATAAACACAAGCTGACGCCAATCGAGAGCTTCATTTGGCTCGATTTGGGGATGACATAAAGTGGGGAGAAGACGTACCATGTCTGTGTCTGACACTGGGCCAAAGCTGGTCACGTATATATCAGTCTTGACTTCTGTTACACGGTCTGTGAAGAAACAAAATAAGAATGGTTTGAAAAAGAATAGACAGTAATTCATGAAAGTTGTATAAACAAGAAATCAAATTAGGAAAATATTGTAGTTATTTATACCAGTTATCTGCTACCAAGGTGCAACCTCCATCTTTTTCCCCACAGCTAATCAAGTTCAAAAGCGCGTCATCGTTAACCATTGTGGAGGCAGACAGTACTTTGGCCATAGATTAACCACTGTGCTGTATATAAACTCGGACTTCATGGAGAAGTGTGAAAAGTGCAGACAACCAACGAATGTGTGCATGTAAACACACTGACCGTCATATGCATGTCCCTTGTGTTTGGAGGTGAGTCCACTCTCTCTTCATTTAAGATTGATGATTTTATCGTTGTCATTATTTTGTGTTTTGTGTCATGCCTTCCGGAGAACAGACATTAACATTTCCTGAGTTGAATGTGTTAATTGAAAAGATGTAAATAAGTAAATATTTGATCATATATTTTTGTTTATTATTGATTGTCTTATAGTAAACACTGTTAGAAAGTCAGGATAAAACAATGTGAGAGTAAGAGCTCTCTATTTCAGTTTGTTCGGAATAGGTCATCTACATAGCGAGTGTACGACAAATGCTTGAGCCTTCAAAGACTTTTGTCTTTTTACCACAAAACTCACTCATTCCCAGATTTTCCCTTTTTATATCTGTTGCTTGTAAGGACAAGGAAACCTCATAAAAGCAAGAAAAGTAAGCCTTGTGTACGGAGTTTTCTTTACTGGTTCGCTGGCTGTCTTGCTGCATATTGTCATGTGTCGTGAGGACAGCACATTTTGTGGATATGCTTTATGTTTTTTATTTTTTAGACAAACCCAATTCCACTGCAGGTATTATGTTGGGTTAAACATAAATAAAAAGAGAATACATTGATTTGCAAATCATGTTCCACCTATATTTAATTGAATACCCTACAAAGACAAGATATTTCATGTTCAAGATGATAAATTTTGTTTTGAGGAAATAATCACTAACTTTGAATTTTATGCATGCAACTTATTCCAAGAAAGTGTGAACAGGGTCGCGTCTACCACTGTGTTGCATCACCTTTTGTTTTATCCACATTCAATAAACATTTTGGGAACTGAGGACAGTAATAGTTGAAGATTTGTGGGTGGAATTCTTTCCCATTCTTGTTTAGCTTCAGCTGTTCAACAGTCCGGGGTCTCTGTTGTATTTTTTACGCTTGACAATGCATCACACATTTTCAATGGGAGACGGCGGGTATGACCCGCAGGCAGGCCAGTCTCGAACCTACACTCTTTTACAATGTAGCCATGCTTGCTGTAACACGTGCAGGAGGTGTTTTGGCATTTTTTTTGCTGAAATAAACAGGGGCATCCATGAAAGACGTTTGTTGGATGACAGCATAGGTTCTCTCCAACACCTGCATGTGCCTTTCAGCATTGCTGGTGCCCAGGGATGTGTTCCTCGAGCCGGTCCTTGGCCTCGAGGACCGGCTCGAGGACCGAAGGTCGGTCCTTGGTCCTTGGCCTTGGCCTTGAGAGTCAATTCCTTGGCCTTGGCCTCGGCCTTGGGAGTCAAGTCCTTGGCCTTGGCCTTGGCCTCGGGTTGCCGGTCCTCGGACACAATGAGGGATTAGAGCCTCGATGTCCACAGGTATTAAGTGGGACCGAGGATCGCAAAAACCACGAAGGAAACAAATAAATTCCATCCAGCTAAACGCATATTGATGGGTTAAGCTGGCGCTTTAAAAGGGGCGGGTCTGCCACTGACAGGCGACAGTTAGCGCAACGAATAAAGAGCGGCATCACAGTTAGTTTCAATCACGGTTTGTTCCGTTCGCGATCGGCAGTTTAAATAGCGTGTAAAGTCTTTCTGTAACAGTGGTGTCTTTTATGTAGTTATTTTTGCACAGTCGTCACGTTTCTGCGGTGGCACTA